TCGTGATGTAATAAATCAAGAAGAATTGTGTGCATAGTGTTGCTTGGAAATGTAGTTCACGAACTCTTTCGACAATTTGAAGACGATTTCTTTCGGGTTGTAGTCTATCTCCAGAATTTGGTTTGTATACTATTTTTGGACCTGCGTAGAATTCGACTGTGTAAGTTGGACCTATTTTTTCGGCTGTGTAGAATTCGATAATTTTTTGTACAGCATCGTGCAGAGGTTGAACATCAAGACAGCTGTAAACTTCAAGAAATCTTGCATCATTTGAAAGATTTTGCTAACCCATACTTATTTTTTTATCTCGTAGTTTTCCTGGCCTGTCTTTGGTCTTTTCGGGTTTGATTCATCGCCACCTTTTTTAAAGAAACTTTTTGATACTGAGGGTTGAGTGTTTTTGATCTGCAATTTAGAGCAGAAGGCAGAATATGATATAGAGGTGATGTATCAGAAAGTTTATCTAAAAGATACCAAATGTTCATATATATAAAAAAATATTGCTGAAAGTTAATCTTATGAATTACCGGCCGCTACTGTCAATAAAACCAAAAGCGGGCGATGCTAATAAAAAAAACTTTTTTTTTCTATTAATACCAACCATTGGTAAATGATTAATAGTTACAGTTCTCAGATCAACTGATTTGAATGACACTGATTTTGCCTATGAGAATTTCAAAACTGCTTGGTTTTATCATTAGATGAACTTGCATAAAAAAATGTTTTTCTACCTTGCGATTCAATGAATGACTTGCGTTTTGCATCATACTGACAAATATGTGTTGGCGTTTTGTTTTGAATGAAAGCAGGCGGAGAAATAAACTTTTTGTTAATTGCTTTATCAAAATACAAAACCTCAGTAGTCAGACTAAAGTGTTCATGATGATAGCAACCATTGAACACACACAAACTGTGACTTGATTGACAGCACACATCGGAAATAAACTTTCTATCTTCACATCTCCGTTTAAAAAATTGTGATGTAATAAGACAAGAAGAATTGTGTGCATAGTGTTGCTTGGAAATGTAGTTCACAAACTCTTTCGACAATTTGAAGACGATGTCTTTCGGGTTGAAGTCTATCTCCAGAATTTGGTTTGTATACTATTTTTGGACCTGCGTAGAATTCGACTGTGTAAGTTGGACCTATTTTTTCGGATGTGTAGAATTCGAGCATTTTTTGTACCGCATCGTGCAGAGGTTGAACATCAAGACAGCTGTAAAACTTCAAGAAGTCTTGCATCATTTGAAAGATTTTGCTAACCCATACTTATTTTATTATCTCGTAGTTTTCCTGGCCTGTCTTTGGTCTTTTCGGGTTTGATTCATCGCCACCTTTTTTAAAGAAACTTTTTGATACTGAGGGTTGAGTGTTTTTGATCTGCAATTTAGAACAGAAGCAGAATATGATATAGAGGTGATGTATCAGAAAGTTTATCTAAAAGATACCAAATGTTCTATTATAAAAAAAATTTTTGCTGAAAGTTTATCTTATGAGTTACAGGCCGCTACTGTCAATAAAACCAAAAGCGGGCGATGCTAATAAAAAAAACTTTTTTTCTATTAAAACCAACCATTGTTAAATGATCAATAGTTACAGTTCTCAGATCAACTGATTTGAATGACACTGATTTTGCCTATGAGAATTTCAAAACTGCTTGGTTTTATCATTAGATGAACTTGCATAAAAAAATGTTTTTCTACCTTGCGATTCAATGAATGACTTGCGTTTTGCATCATACTGACAAATATGTGTTGGCGTTTTGTTTTGAATGAAAGCAGGCGGAGAAATAAACTTTTTGTTAATTGCTTTATCAAAATACAAAACCTCAGTAGTCAGACTAAAGTGTTCATGATGATAGCAACCATTGAACACACACAAACTGTGACTTGATTGACAGCACACATCGGAAATAAACTTTCTATCTTCACATCTCCGTTTAAAAAATTGTGATGTAATAAGACAAGAAGAATTGTGTGCATAGTGTTGCTTGGAAATGTAGTTCACAAACTCTTTCGACAATTTGAAGACGATGTCTTTCGGGTTGAAGTCTATCTCCAGAATTTGGTTTGTATACTATTTTTGGACCTGCGTAGAATTCGACTGTGTAAGTTGGACCTATTTTTTCGGATGTGTAGAATTCGAGCATTTTTTGTACCGCATCGTGCAGAGGTTGAACATCAAGACAGCTGTAAAACTTCAAGAAGTCTTGCATCATTTGAAAGATTTTGCTAACCCATACTTATTTTATTATCTCGTAGTTTTCCTGGCCTGTCTTTGGTCTTTTCGGGTTTGATTCATCGCCACCTTTTTTAAAGAAACTTTTTGATACTGAGGGTTGAGTGTTTTTGATCTGCAATTTAGAACAGAAGCAGAATATGATATAGAGGTGATGTATCAGAAAGTTTATCTAAAAGATACCAAATGTTCTTTTATAAAAAAAATTTTTGCTGAAAGTTTATCTTATGAGTTACAGGCCGCTACTGTCAATAAAACCAAAAGCGGGCGATGCTAATAAAAAAAACTTTTTTTCTATTAAAACCAACCATTGTTAAATGATCAATAGTTACAGTTCTCAGATCAACTGATTTGAATGACACTGATTTTGCCTATGAGAATTTCAAAACTGCTTGGTTTTATCATTGGATGAACTTGCATAAAAAAAATGTTTTTCTACCTTGCGATTCAATGAATGACTTGCGTTTTGCATCATTTTGGCAAATTTGTGTTGGCGTTTTGTTGTGAATGAAAGCAGACTGAGAAAAAACTTTTTGTTAATTGCTTTATCAAAATACAAAACCTCAGTAGTCAGACAAAAGTGTTCATGATGATAGCAACCATTGAACACCCACAAACTGTGACTTGATTGACAGCACACATCGGAAATAAACTTTCTATCTTCACATGTCCGTTTAAAAAATCGTGATGTAATAAGACAAGAAGAATTGTGTGCATAGTGTTGCTTGGAAATGTAGTTCACAAACTCTTTCGATAATTTGAAGACGATGTCTATCGGGTTGTAGTCTATCTCCAGAATTTGGTTTGTATACTATTTTTGGACCTGCGTAGAAATCGACTGTGTAAGTTGGACCTATTTTTTCGTCTGTGTAGATTTCGATCATTTTTTGTACCGCATCGTGTAGAGGTTGAACATCAAGACAGCTGTATAACTTCAAGAAATCTTGCATCATTTGAAAGGTTTTGCTAACCCATACTTATTTTATTATCTCGTAGTTTTCCTGGCCTGTCTTTGGTCTTTTCGGGTTTGATTCATCGCCACCTTTTTTAAAGAAACTTTTTGATACTGAGGGTTGAGTGTTTTTGATCTGCAATTTAGAACAGAAGGCAGATTATGATATAGAGGTGATGTTTCAGAAAGTTTATCTAAAAGATACCAAATGTTCATATATAAAAAAAAAAATTTTGCTGAAAGTTAATCGTGTGAGTTACCGGCCGCTACTGTCAATAAAACCAAAAGCGGGCGATGCTAATAAAAAAATCTTTTTTTTTCTAATAAAACCAACCATTGGTAAATGATCATAGTTACAGTTCTCAGATCAACTGATTTGAATGACACTGATTTTGCCTATGGGAATTTCAAAACTGCTTGGTTTTATCATTGGATGAACTTGCACGTCGCAAACACCAAAAGTCTTCCGTAAATCTGAAGCGGATGGGTTTACTAAGTCTATAAAAATGCACTATGCTGACGAAATAATCTTTTTAAATTTTGGAAATTTGATAAACGGACTAAAAGTTTCTTGTATCATATTGATAAATTCAAACAAGGAAGGCACTGTGATGCTTTCTCCAAAATGAGACGTTTAGTACCGAGAGGGGTCATGATAAATTATTACAACTCCAATGTTAAGACAATAATCCAGTATGGTTTGCTTGTTTATGGTAGTACGTCTTTTCAATCCTAAATCCGATTTTTTTTTGCAAAAGAAGCTGATGAAAATGATCTACTTCAGGAGATATTTTGAAAGCATCTCAATTGAGTTTCAAGAAAAAAACTCATGCTGTGCCTGCATTGTATGCTTACAGTTTTCTAAAATTTGGCATGCGGTCTGTCAATAATTTGCACTTTAAAGACTTTCTCAATGAACTTTTTGCTGGAAACAGCATTAACTATAATACAAGAAGATCAGTTTTTCCTAACCTTAACAATTTTTTTGTGTTAAAAGCCGAATATGTCTACTTGTAAAACCTAGGATTTAAACTTCCGAACATTTTGAGTTTAAACATTTTTTGCCTGAAAATCTTGGTCAGATGAATCATCGTGAACTGTTGGTGTTCTTCCACACTCTTAAAAAATATCATTTTCAGACATTCTCAGCTTGTTCGTTTCATCTTTCATAACTCAAAGTTATTTCTAAGTTTTCTCAGTCTAATGACTCTAATTGAAGAACTAAAGCTTTTCGCCCACCCCCTTCGGGAAATAACTTAATAACTTCTCTGAAAAAAATGTTTTGCTCTAAAAACAACTTGAAATGTTTCAAATTTTCATCGCTTGATTAGCTTGAATCAAGTCTGAAACTTTCAATAAAGAAAATGTTTCTGTTTTTGCTGACTAGTTTGATTCATGAAATAACATAGCTCGAATGGCTTCGAAGAAAACCTTTATTTTTTCGCCATCCAACTCCTTTCGTGACTCAGCTTGAAATGGCTTGATCAGCTTGCTTAAAAAACCTGAACAACTATCTTTTGATCAATTGATCATGGAGACACGCTAGTTAGTATAAATAGCGTCGGCCAAGTCGTTAGTGGGTGTCAAATAACGAATTTATCTTGTGAAGAAAAAGTTTATTAAAATCCAAGCAGTATATAAATGCATTAAATTACAAACAATGACCTCCAATTCAAAGCAAGTTTCTTTCTTAAGAATCAAACACATAATTTTTTTTTGGTGTATGGCAGCGTCAAGCAAGAGAGAGTTAGATTGCACAAATTATCTAATTATTACTATATTGACCGTAATGTGAAACATTCGTTTCAGACATTTTTCTACGTCTTGCCCTTCACTGATGTCCAACAGACGAATACTGCTGCTGGTTTTGACCCAATTCGAACAAATGAGCATGACTGCAGCGGAAGCGGGTTGCTGAATTTGAGCATTGGTCATTGTCACTCTCTCATGGCGTCTCCTTGGAAACAGCCCGAATCAGACATACCTGAAGAAGGGTTTGGATTTGGACTAGAAGGGGGAGATGGAGATCCGGTCATAGTGAAAAGTGTACTGTCAGGTAATAGGGAATGAAAAAAAGCACTTTGCTAGCTTTGATAGTTGAAAACGGCATTTTAACTGGAAAGAGGACTAAATACATTTCCGGGGAGGGGTGGGGCTTGCGCGAGGGCGGGGGTAAGATGGAGAGTAAATGTATGTTTATTATACCTTTGACCCGTTGCACTAGGGATTTACTACCATTCATTTCCAGTTTGAAATACTCATGCAGAGTTTGTAATGCAAACTCGTATTTGTATGTAACTGGTGCAAATGCATGTACCCATATAAGTAGTTTGGTTCAGTTTGGGCAAATAAACTATTTAGCCAACACATATTTTTTCATTTCCAGGGTTGTCGTGTTGTTATCTAGATGTTATTAACAGACCGATATTTAACACGTTATTAGCACATCATTTTAAACAATTCGAGCTTTCAATTCTAATGCAATTGTTTTTTCATATCTGGCGCAAAAAAGCAGTAAGGGGTGGAAAACATAAGTTAAACTAATTTTTTTCTGGTTCCAATAAATCTGGTTGTAAGCGCTGAAGATCTGCCAAACCATATGTTACAAGAAAAAAATTCATTTTTGTTAAAGGAAGGCAAACATTGGCCCCGTTTAAAAATTTTAAAAACGTTAAAAATCTTGAACAACATATTAGATCACACTTATTATAGTATCTGGTTGTCAAAAAAGATAAATGAGGCTTCGGATCTGTATTTAATGCTTGAAAAAAATTATTTATACGAAGGAATAATTTGCTACTAATAAGTTTTGTTTAAATTTTCAGAAATTAAAAAAAAAATGTTTTTCTACCTTGCGATTCAATGAATGACTTGCGTTTTGCATCATACTGACAAATTTGTGTTGGCGTTTTGTTGTGAAGGAAAACAGGCTGAGAAATAAACATTTTGTTAATTGTCTTATCAAAATACAAAACCTCAGTAGTCAGACAAAAGTGTTCATGATGATAGCAACCATTGAACACCCACAAACTGACTTGTTTGACAGCACACCTCGGAAATTAACTTTCTATCTTCACATGTGCGTTTAAAAAATCGTAATGTAATAAGACCAGAAGAATTGTGTGCATAGTGTTGCTTGAAAATGTAGCTCACAAACTCTTTCGACAATTTGAAGACGATGTCTTTCGGGTTGTAGTCCATCTCCAGATTTTGGTTTGTATACTATTTTTGGACCTGCGTAGAATTCGACTGTGTAGATTGGACCTATTTTTTCGGCTGTGTAGAATTCGATCATTTTTTGTACCGCATCGTGCAGAGGTTGAACATCAAGACAGCTGTACAACTTCAAGAAATCTTGCATCATTTGAAAGATTTTGCTAACCCATACTTCTTTTATCTCGTAGTTTTCCTGGCATGTCTTTGGTCTTTCGGGTTTAATTCATCGCCACCTTTTTTAAAGAAACTTTTTGATACTGATGGTTGAGTGTTTTTGATCTGCAATTTAGAACAGAAGGCAGAATATGATATAGAGGTGATGTTTCAGAAAGTTTATCTAAAAGATACCAAATGTTCATATATAAAAAAAGTTTTTGCTGGAAGTTAATCTCATGAGTTACCGGCCGCTACTGTCAATAAAACCAAAAGCGGGCGATGCTAATAAAAAAGGACTGTCACAAATGGCTAATAAGTTTTCTTACAGAGCGGTATACCTTCAGGCTCAGTGTTATGTCCGCTTCTTTTCTTAATTTATTAAAATCATATGCCGAATAATTCTGAAACATCAGAGCTACTCTTGTTTGCTGATGACACCAACATAATATTCGGCAGCTCATGTTTAAGTGAATTCCATTTGGAGCTATTCAAAGTTCATTCTTGGCTAGTTTCCAGTAAACCTACATTAAGTCCAAATTCAATTCTTGGCTAGTTTCCAGTAAACTAAATCAAGTCAAGATAAAAACGACCCTAATTAATTTAAACCACTTTTCTGGTGCTTCCAGCATTCAGTTTTTTTATAGATTTTGTTTCACTCCAAGTTTCATGCAAATATTTAGTAGTAATTAAGATAAATAAACAAAGTTTCTTGTATCATATTGATAAATTCAAATTCAAACAAGGAAAGCATTATGATGCTTTCTCCAAAATGAGACATTTAGTACCGAGAGGGGTCATGATTAACCCCAATTTTGCGTGCTTCTGATGATGTCAAACATCATTTTAGTGATATTTTGAAATTTCAATGGCTTGAAGTACTCTTTTTTTTTGAGAAATTGCACATTTTTTAAGATATTTTTTATGACCAAATAAAATCTTAGCGTAAAAATCTTCTGTTTCTCAAAACTTCCTTTTTAAAAAAAATCTGGACTCATTCGAAGTGCTATCACAAGTGTTAATTAACTCCAATTCTACTCCGATTTCTTGACTGCTCAATACATGCAGGTTTTCGTGAAATCTTAAATTTGATTGAGATTTCTAGATGTCCTTAATGACGTGGCAATTTTAAAAAAATAATAAATTCGGTTTTTCTTCAGTACTGGGAGTTGGTGATAATTTTGTGCATTTAATGGAAAGATATGGTGGCTCAAAACCTGTAGCTTTTGAGCTTAATTGTTTTTTATGACAAAATCAACTGAAGAGAAAACATTTAATGACTTTTTTCATTCTTATTCTTTTCGGGGTGCTACGGCAAGAATTCAGTATTTCTGTGCTTTTTGTCGAAAGATATGACGGCTCTCTTTTTTGTCTGTTTGAATTATATCACTTTTTCTGACAATAACGGTAGGCTCCCAGTGGGAGTTTAAACCAATTATATATTGTATAACACGACCTATTAACTAACTTAGAGATTTAGCAAATTAAAAATAGAAATAAGATCAAGAAATACATTGCCAAATGTTAGATAGCATAGACAACTTAATAAGTAAGTCTCTACGTCCCAACACGTCTACTCCATTATTTCAAACGATACGGCAAACTCTAGGTCAAAAACTGAACAGCAGATAAAGCTTGCATAGCGTGAAACGACGCAAAATCAAATGGTTTTTTCTCTACAAAGTTCTCAGTGCAGTAGAAATTCATTCTCTATCATGAAATAAAAATACTTGGAGCAATAAGATTCATTTCCAAGCCATATACTTCTTGATGCTGTTTAATCATGTCATATAACCATAATAACGACTGATGAAAAGATACACAATTCGTTCCTTTCTTCAAGTCTGCAGCAATTTTAAAACTTTTGTAAAATTGAAGTTTATTGACTGAAAAATACAAAAAATAGTTAGTAGTAAAACTAAAGTTAGTTTCGTTAACTTTATCAGAGTTTCTTGCTTCTCAATTTACCTCATCCTTTCACCCTTTCACCTTCTCCCCAATTTTCCATCCTTGTTTTCTCATCTAAAACAAAACTATTATTATTCGAAAACTAATATCGTTCAATTTTTTTTAAAATATTTAAAGCAATGTTTCTAATTTTTTTAATCTTTTACCTAACTGAAACCTTATACTTACATATTATCAAGGCCTATCCTTGCTTTGTAATAATCTAATTTCCCCTAACAACAGATCATCAAGTCTATACCTGGATCTTTGAATTTTAACTGAGCCTTCATCTGAGCCCCTCCTCTTAGCTGACTCAGACTAAACGACATCCTAAACTTAGTAAGACCTATAATAGAACCTAGCGATCTACTTGTGTTACAACTATGCCTGAACTTTATGGATTGATTTAATATTCTCCAACCCTTAATCACAAAATCACAACCCTAAGTAAGATTAAGTAGGTTTTTCTTAAAAGAAATCTTGGCCATCGGGAAAGTACATCATTCTAACGAATTGATATACTCTCTCTCTCTCCAATCCGTCTATCCCGACAACATATGCCCCAAAATTAGGATAACCCACAAATATCGTAAGAACTATCAGTTTAGGAAACAAAAATTCTAACCATTGGATTTTGTAAGCATCATTCTAAACCTTATGTCAAGAGTTAATGTAGGCATTAAACATTAATACTCCACAATTGTTTAGTCAAAAATGAAAGATACGATCATGTAATCACATCACTCAAACAAGAAATAGGATAATTTAGATCGAAAAAACAAACGAGAAAAAAGGCAATTACCACAAAACAAAAACTAAATTTTAAGCGAAAATTTTCCAAAACACGGAACGCAGTTTCGGAATCCGACACAACTACAAAACACGAACTACAGGATCTAAAAGAATCAATCGACAAAAATAACCTAATCACCGAGAATCAGAATCCACAACACCATCATCAATAAAAGGTAAACGCAGAATAAAAAATAGATACCTTCGAAAGCTAGTAAGACTCTACAATTGGAATCAACCAATCAGGCATATTGAAAGTTAGACAATAACTGTAATCGCACTCAAAAAATGATTCAATACGACCTAATTTTTGAAAATGACTCTATCCTCCCCGTTGTTATTCATCCACAAAGCGATCCTGTTAGAGGACAGGTACAATTTTGTCATATTTTAATTGAAAATTTATATGAAAAAGGAAATAGCCCATGTAAGCAAGAATTTCCTGAAGTCAAAATTAGAAGACACATACTCGATCACTATCTACCAGGCATCAGTAATATCACATCACACCATGGTTTTTTACTTAATTTATTACCACCACAACCAGCAAACTACTCACCGCACCGGATGCAAACAGATGATGTAGAATTACCTTTCTCAAACGTTTTCACAGAATATATCAAAAATATTCAACATCAAATATCTCAAAGAGCAAACTCAATATTCGCAAACAAGGTTTTCGCTCTCATTTATTTCAAAACGATACGGCAAACTCTAGGTCAAAAACTGAACAGCAGATAAAGCTTGCATAGCGTGAAACGACGCAAAATCAAATGGTTTTTTCTCTACAAAGTTCTCAGTGCAGTAGAAATTCATTCTCTATCATGAAATAAAAATACTTGGAGCAATAAGATTCATTTCCAAGCCATATACTTCTTGATGCTGTTTAATCATGTCATATAACCATAATAACGACTGATGAAAAGATACACAATTCGTTCCTTTCTT